TAATTTCTTTACATATGCATGCATCTGTATATAATCATAGAAAAGGTGGAGAGGCACAGTCACACCAAAACATTGAGATGATTATTCAAGTAGTATTAGAATTTGGAGTGGTTTTAGTTTCTTTCCTGCTGATTTTTTGTTTTCGCGTGACATGAAGAGTGTTAATGCCCACCTCAGAATGGAGCAACATTGTTATTAGGGGAGACTGGGGCCTAGACAAGATATCTCTTTTATACTGAATGACTGTGGGCCTAACAAAGTTGTAGACACCGTGCTGTGACTGTTCCTGCTGTGGTAACTGCATGGCACGGAGACTCAATTCCTAGGGCTCCCAAGTGCAACAGGAATCTTCTTGCATCTGACCGGCCCCTTAGTTCGAGCTAAGAACTGGCAGGAATCCAGCAGCAGCAGGAGCCCCAGACAGATGACCGCTGGGATGTAAGTACTTAGTGACTCCTTCAGAACCACCAAAGTGAAGACAGCCCCTAGAACACAAAGGAAGACACCCAGGAAATCCAAGAACTCAGGGATTCCGGCCCAAGCTGACCCACTGCAGCTCAGGCCCTCCTCCCCTCCCCCAATAATCACCCCTCCACACCTCTTCCAGGAAGCAAGACAAAGAATTAAAAGCCTCTTGAGCTAATGTATGCCCTGGAATAGGGGAGAGTCAAAGAGAGAAGACAGGGATGTAGAGGCTAATTTTTCCCTCAACTCTTTCTTAATAATTCTAAATCTACTGGAGGATTCAAAATGGAGCCCAGGGGCTTGAGGAGAAGGTGTGGTAATGATCTAAAAATGAGGAAAGTTTTATAAACAGAAAGAATGTTTTAGTGGCAATAATGTGACACTGGCCAGGGGATGCAAAACAACACAAGGGTGTCTGGCCTTTGCAGCAGCAGCTGCCCTGTCTGTACACTGGCGTTTCTTGGTGGCACTCCTGAGAAAGTTTCTTCTAGAGAAATTCTCTGCCTCTTTGGTCAAGGGACTCCAGCTTTCCTGCTGGCTGCTCCAACACCCACGATACATTATACATTAAGTGGCAGCCGCTATTCCACACCCTCCAGGAGTGAGCATTTATCAGAGAGCAGGTACTCTTGAGATCATGCTACATGCTTATACTGGAACACGGTGTAGCCACAGACATGACAGGGAAAGTAGGTGACAGTGTTACGGTGGCCAGGATATGGTACAAGACATTTCAAAACTACTAGTCTCAAGATTATGGAAGTGGGGCTGGTGAGATGGCTCAGCAGTTAAGAGCACTGACTACTCTTCAAGAGGCCATGAGTTCAAATCCCAGCAACCACATAGTGGCTCACAACCATCTGTAATGAGGTCTGATGCCCTCTTATGGGGTGTCTGAAGACAGCTACAGTGTGCTTACATATAATAAATAAATACAAACCTTTGGGAGGGAGGGAGTGGGGCCAGAGCGAAAGGGAGAAACGAAAAGATTATGGAAGCTATGGTGGAGCAGGAAGTGTTCCTAGCCCCAGAAGAGAGGAGAGCATAAGGAAACACAGATTTTTTCTACCATCCCCAGGAGACCCCAGTCGCCCCCTTACCCATCGTGAGCAGGATCAAGAGTATGTTACTGAGCTCTTGTAGCACAGGTGGACCCACGACCAGCAGCAACCCAGCCAGCAGTTCCAGCCAGCCCACAGCTGTTTGGTAGTTTATAGGATCTGGCTGGTAGCGGAACACCTTCAATGGACACACCTCAGCAAACTGCTTGAACAAGTCTTTCTAGGAGTGGTAGGGAATGCCTGTCAGTACTACTCGTCAAAAAATGCAGTGCCTGAAGGCACCACAGAGACCTCCTCTGCCTGTAACTGGCTCCCCTAACAAAACTACTACAAGTAGAAGCCAGATCTTGGTTTAAGAACCCGGTAAGGAAGGGGCTACCCTATGGGGCTGACCTTTGGAATCAGGAGCAGACACGCCAAAGTAAAAAAGGGCTTCAGGTGTAGAGACAGCTTTATGTCTTCACTAGACCTCTCCATAGCTGATAACCCAGCCTCAAATCCCAGGAGAAGGGAACAGGGCTTGGACCTTCTCATCTAGGGTCAGGGCCTGGGAAAGGCCGCAGATTCTCTTTGTGCCAGGCCTAGTTTCTCTTCTCCCTGAGTATTTGCAGGTGGGATGCAAAGGCTCCTTATAGAATGACTGACACTTTCTGATGCTGGTCCTGATTCCACTGTGGCAGACACAGGAACAGCTGAGGGGATGTAAAGCAACACACCTTACTCAGACTCTTCCCTGGGTTTCCACCCTCTGGTTTCCTGTGATCCAACAGCAGCCCTGCCTCTCCTACTCTGGCCTCCAAGGATGCCATGTTGTCATCTACAGAGCTGAACCAGAACCCCACAGCTGAATTGAAAGAAAAAAACCAAAACCAAAAACGTGTTTTAAACTTATGACTTCGTGCTGGGCTACAGCGACAAAGGAGTGCATGTGGCCCGAGGGCTGCACATGAGACACACTTGCAGAGAGTTTAAGCTGTCTGGATTTTACCATATCTATCCCAAAGAACTCACCATCTTAGTGAAGAAGAAGAAAAAGAAGAAAGGGCCAGGGCAGTGGTGGCACCCACCTTTAATCCCAGCACTTGGGAGACAGAGGCAGGCGGATTTTTGAGTTCGAGGTCAGTCTGGTCTACAGAGTGAGTTCCAGGACAGCCAGGGCTACACAGAGAAACCCTGTCTCGAAAAATCCAACAAAGAAAAAGAAGAAAGAAGGAGAAGGAGGAGAAGAGGAAGAGGGGAGGAAGAAGAGAAGTGTAGTAGTATGCAGGCTTGGGAGGAAGCAACAAGAGTCTTCCACAGAGCCTGGCTTCTCTGAAGATCTGGCCGTGCTGGTGGACCCTCTCAGGATAAGGAATTACACTCAGTGACTTCTATGCTTCCTTCCCAGGCTCCATGAGACACTGAGGAGTCTAGGTTAGATTAGTAGTCTACTTTGAGTCTTGTTTGACTAGCTCTGTCATATTTTGGCAAATTACATTTTAGTTTCCAAGCTTAAAAAAGATGTCTAAGGGGCTGGAGAGTTGGCTGAGGGGTTAAGAGCATGACTGCCCTTCCAGAGGTACTGAGTTCAATTCCCAGCAACCACATGGTGGCTCACAACCATCTGTAATGGGATCCGATGCCCTCTTCTGGTGTGTCTGAAGACAGCTACAGTGTACTTACATGCACAAAAAAATGCAGGGGCAGGTGGATCCCTGCAAGTTCAAGGCCAGCCACTATATACAGTGAGTTCCTGGACAGCCAGCCAGAGCTATACAGTCAGGAGACCAGCTCAAACAAACAAACAAAAACCAAATAAAGTAAAATTCTGCCTCCCCAACCTCCCCAAACTGGAACAATGGGTGGTGGATTTGGGATGCAGAGAGGTGCTAGGTCACTTTTTCACTTTGTCTTCCTGGACCCCCTGAGCCCCGTCACTTCTCCAGCTCTAAATCGGCCTGGGGACAACATGCTCAGCCAGCAGTGGAAGCCCCGTCCCCTCCCACCTGGGGAAGGTGTAGAAAACTGGAGGGAAGGCCCAGGCGCGCTCGAGCCCGGGAACCGAGCACACACTGTCCTTCCCCGGGTGCGGCTCACCATCTGTTGTGACACGGGGGCCGAAACCTGAAAGAGCTTAGCAGCCCCTGTGAGCGCAAAGAAGACGCCGAGCAGAACTCGCAGCACGCCTAACCCGAGCAGCATAGCAGCGGCCGATTTCCTGGACAACTCTTCTTCCCTACCCGGAAGACCACAGTTGCCCCGCCCACTCGATTACTCCCAACTTCCAGCCCCGCCCACCGAAGGATACTTCCACTAAGACCCGCCCACTGAGGCCTCCCCTCACACTACTTATTGTGGAGGGGGCGGGATGACGTGTATGTCCACGTGACCCGGCCTTCAAGCCCACCCGTGCTGGAAGAATCTGACACCACCCAACCCCGTGTGTCTCTGGGTTTGCATCTGTATGGAAGTTGCACACCAGCCTTCAGAAAGTTACTTGTAAATCAGTGAGCCCTACAATTAATGAGCAATAAAGCAATAACTAAGTTTTTCTTGTCTACCTATACCTAAAATACCTGCCCCCTGTCATTGCTCAACTGAAAGAAAGAAAAATGAGAAAGATAGTTAAAGAATCCCTTACTTGCTTGCACTGGCAAACAAGAGGACCAATTTTTCTCTGGCTATTGAGTTTTTAACACATACCCAAAAAGAAAATAATAATAACACTCTAAAAATGACTAAACAATGGTCAAGGAATTTTCACAACAGTTAAAAATGATATAAAACTAACACTCAGGGTACAAGGGTAAAAGTGTTGACCTGCATACGTCTGTATACCATCAACGGCTGAGCCACTGAAAAACTATCTGACCTTTCATGAAAGTCGGCTACAGACAAGCAGGATGTGCCTGTAATTCCCACACTAGCGAGGATGAGGCCTGAGGACTGCCCAGAGTGGAATGCCAGCATGAACTTCACTGCAAGAACTAGGCCAGTGAGGACTACATTGTAAAGCCTAGTCTCCAATTAATGTTTGAAAAAAAAATCCCTAGCCCTGGTCTAGATCGGTCCAAAAGAAGCCCTAAATTATGGCCTCAGACTCTCCTGCTGTCCACGCTTGCTGGCCACCCACTTGGATCTGCTTTCCAGCTACACATGACTCTGAGAGCTGGCGACATGGCTGGTGACTAAAAGTGCTTATGTTTTTAAAGTGTACCTGCCTACTTGGTCATGCAGGGAGATACTGGTCACTGGCCTAACTTAACTCTATTTTGTCACTTTTTTTTCCTGAGTTACTTTCTCTTGTGATTACCTCAGATTCTAGGAAAGACAGAACTGACCCATAAGCATAACGTACAGCAAAGAACTAAAGCTAGCTCCAAGCAACAGGGAGCCTGGCAGAGCAGATCACCCCTTAAATGAGGGCGAACGCCACCATGATGAGGCCAAAGCCAAACTGCTCCCCTAAAACCCTGACAGTGGGAACTTCTCCAGAACAATTTGCAGCACCAGAGCTGAAAGAACGATCAATCAGACTACTGTCCTTACCAAAAAGGCACCCAACCCTCCACTGTTCCCTTTTTCTGTGATAGTTCAAAAGTCCCAGTTAGTCCTTCAAACTAAGGTGGCATTGTGTAGGACACCTTTAATTCCAGCAGCCAGGAAGCAGAGGCAGTCAGATCTCTGAGATCTAAGGTAGCCTGGTCAGCATAGATTCCAGGATAGCTAGGGCTACATAGAGAGACCCTGTCTCAAACAAAACAAAACAAAACAAACAAAACAAACCAACAACGGCTGAGCTGGGGTCAATGAATCACAATCAGTTCTTCCCAGCCCAGTCTTGCTCTGCCCTTCACTGCTCACCTCTAACTGGACAAGTGGGTTGGCCTGGTCTCTTGGGGAACTCCGTAAACAAGACATTTCCTCTGAAACTCCAAGAACAATCTCCAACATAAAGGCTACATTTTCTCCCTCGTGTTATTAAAATTATATATAATTATGCTCAGTTCCACAATTCTTAAATCCCTCGACAACAAAGGAAAATTATTAAAACATTTAATCACTGAAAATACAGATACATTAGCAAACTGTATTTTAGGATACTTATACAAAATTTAACACAAAATTATACACTCTGACGATAAGCAATACGGATACTAATCTTTCTCCTTTGCTAACTTGTCTATCCTTGGAACTAAGGATGTGACTGCCAGTCTGAGGGCGGGACCGTGAGTCTGAGGGTCTCTCTGTCTGGATGCAGTCAAGGCAGAGAAGGCGGCATCGCAGAGACAGGTGCTTGAGAAGGGAAGTAGCAGCTTCATTGCCTTTTCATGGAGCTCAGGATAACTTGTCTTTGCATTGACCCAAAACTGCGTGACAGACATTGATTTATGAACTGACTGGAATCTCATATCGGAAGATAACGCTGCAAGTTTTTCTTCTTCGGAGTCAGTGAGATTGTTATTCTGGTAACTGGCAAAGGGATCCATGAGCCACAGATTTCCCGAACGTAAGTCCTCCTCTGGTGGGTAACAATTTTGGAATACCTGAGAAAGTCCTTCCAGGTGCTCAAAAATAATGCTCGCCATGTTTCTCACACTTACATCTGCAGAGTCTAGGAACTCAGAAAATAGAGGGAACATGTCATAATCATTCTCTTGTGCACGCTTCAACCACATTTTAAGCTTTTTCTTAAATATGTCAACTTTATTATACAAATTGAAAAACGTAGCCATGGTTCCCTGGAGAGTTGAATTTAATTTATTTATAAGTGAAAATATATCTGCTAAATAGGCTAGCTTTGCAACCCATTCCTCATCATGGAAATACCTGGCCAAATCTGAGTGCTTTTGATTTAAAAATATTTCAATTTCATGTCTCAGTTCAAATAGTCTTGTTAAAATTCTCCCTCTCGACAGCCAGCGTACTTCAGCATTAAATGGTAAATTCACATGCTCAGATCCCATCTCTTCACACAAAATTGTCAACATTTGTGAATCTGAGCCATTGTTCTTTACAAAGCTTAAAATTTGTGATGACTGCAAAAGAATTTCATGTAGGCATGGAGATAGCTTTTCGGCTGCTAAGTGTTCACGGTGAATGAAACAACGTGTAAAAGTCACTGTATTCTTGGCAATTTCTTGAATTTTTGACCTTAAACGAGAACACCTGTCAGTCATGCTTGCGGCTCCATCAGTACAAAAGCCAACACAATGGTTCCAACTCAGAGATCTGCTATCAATATATTTATTTATTAATTCAAACACTTCAAGATCTGTGCTCAGAGAAGGCATTTCAGTGCAAAATAATAATTCTTCCTTCACATCTCCACAGTCATAGTCGATGAAGCGGACATAGCAGAGAAGAAGCGGCACATCTGTGGCCTCGGACGACTCATCCACCTGAAGGGCAAACCACCTGGACTCCCGGACCTTCTGCAGCAGCTGGTCTTCAATGTCTTCAGACAGTTTCTTAATCCTGCACCCAACTGTGCTATTAGAAAGAGGGATGGTTTTCATTTTGTCTCCAGCACTTGAACCCAAAACTTCAGAACACATTTCTACTAAATATGGTTTAACTAATTCTTCAGCAATCGAGAATGGCTTATTCCTGGCAGCAATTTGGAAAGCGATTAAATAAGAAGCTTTCACAAGTGACTCTTCAACTAGTAAACACTTTTTTAAAGAACTGTTTTGACATTTCATTCCAAGTGATTTTTCTTCAAAAAAGTCTATTGGCTTGTTCTCTAAATCTGAGTGTTTTGCCTTCAAATGGTTAGAAAGACTCACTGGTGTCACACTTTCACCAGGTAAGATCTCTCCACAAATGACACACTGTGGGCTTGGTGAACTTTCCTTTGATCCAGAACAGACAATGAAACCAAATTTAATATACTCTGCATTGTAAGTCTGGAAAAAGTCTATTCTTCTTCTCTTTGCAGGTGGAGAATCAGGTTCTTCATTTTTCCAATCTGGCAGAGGTAAATCTAAAGGAAATATATGAATCACTGTTACGATATGAACATGTATAATATGATATGAACAGATGTATTATGAAAAACTGGACAAAGAACTATTAACACAGCTTGACCCAATTTTGCCTATAAAATTTAAAATCTAGAAGTTGAAAAGAACACTTAAGAGGCTAGAGTGTAGCTCAGTGGCAGAATGCTTTCCCTGGGATGTGTGACAGCCAGAAGCTAATCCTTAGCACCAAGGCAGACAAACCAACCACATGTAAATTCTAAGGCCAGCCCTGGAGTTTGGCTGTGTTGTGTACTCTAGAATCTAATCCCAGCACTCAGGAGGCAGAGGCAGGTGGATCTCTAGTGAATTAGAGGCCAGCCTGATATACAGAGTAAGTTCTTGGATAGCCAGGGCTACACAGAGAAATCCTAACTCAAAAAAACAAATAAAAAGACCCAATAATACAAAACAAAAATGAAAATTAAGTGCAAGCATCTCAGATGTCCACAGACCCTTTACTACTGTTTACCTGTTACATGAACTTCTGTAACCGGTAAGAGTATCATTTTCAATGGAAATATAAAACAATCAAATTTCAAGAAAGAATTCTCTTTTACTCCTTCCAAAGGAAAGGAACCCTATTAGAATGTCGATGATCACTTTTTACCAGAGTAAGCTTTATCTATTTGTTTATTTAGAGACAGGCTCTTGCTATTCAGCCCAAAATGGCTTTAAACTCAAGATTTTTCTGTCTCATTCTTCCAAACAGCTGGGACTATAGTAGCTCACCACAAAGGCCCAGACTAGGCTTTTTACATAACATGTTAGTCTATGGAACAAAGCTATGATTAACAACAAAAGAAACTGGGACTATAGCTCTGTGGCAAAATGCAAAGCTCTAAATTGACACATTGACAACACACACGCACACGCACACGCACTTTGGGCAGAGGTGGCTACTAAAATAACTGTAAAACACAAGGAATATGAGTTGAAGGCATTACCATTGATTGGGGCAACACTTTATAGCTTTTCTATGGAGGAGTTCACACAATTTTTTATCACCAACACCCCAGACCCTATATTATCTATTATTTCAGTAACCTATAATTAAATAATTAAATGCAGAGTTTAAAAGAAAGGAAGGAAGAAGAGAAGAAACAAAAGATTGAATGAGCTAAGGCTGAACTAATGCTTTTAAGCAAATATGTATGTCAGTAATTATAACGGCTTATCTATACATTTGAAAGAGCAA